TAATAATAATAAAATACTTTATTGATTGAAATAAGTTGAACAACTAAATATACTGAAGGGTGTCACAGATGGGAACAGTTTTACCCAGCCACTTTTAAAGCCAAATATGCATTCCAGAAAGGAAAAGCTTCACTACAGAAGAACCACAGCATCAGTCAGTATCTCTGTTCCTGCAAATAAAGTTCCATCTGCTTTTTTCATGTAACATGCACACATGGAACTGAGCATTGCAGAGAGCCAGGACATAAAAATTCAGCAGGGTTTAGCCTGAAAGCTTCTAGGGTATCAAACTGGTGAACCAGCACCTCTAAGATGCAAACTCTTTGTCATGGCCTTAAAAACCTCTGAGATGAGGTTTCCTTTAGCTGCAGTGTAACAAGAGCTCTGTGGTTGTGCTCCACAGACCCCTGCTCTGTGCCACTGCTTGTGCACAAAGCCCACAGCACCAGGACAAGTGGTGCTGGCGTTTCCTGACAGGGCAGCTGGCCAAAACACAGAGAGGAGAGGCCAGTCTCAGGGGTCCAGTCTCCTCCTGGCGTCCATCCTCTTCTTAAAGAGGTACTTGTGCCAGAAAGGGATGGGCTGATTTTAGTCCATCTTCCTGTTTCTTTTCCTTCCCTTCTTCCCCTACCTCCAACCAAAAAAAAGAGGACTCCTGCATTCATTCACTGGGAATACAACTTGGGGGAATTTCTTGAGGATTACATTCATACATCAAACCTTACAAGAGGTTTAATACAACTTAAAGAAAATAAAAATGGTGGCTCTTGAGGAAAAATAAAACAGCCACCCTCATCCTCAACAAACAAGCTTAATCTGTGTCCCAAGATCTTACCTGTTCACTCCATTACAACCTTTATTTTCATTGGAATAGAGAATGTCTCTTTAACATGGAACATTAACTGCTTTAGAAGCCAATACAGCTGCCGAAGGACAAGCACAGTATGATTTTGCTTTATGATATGTGTGCAAAACTGTGAAGGCTGCCTTCAACTAAAATGCTGTAGCTTGATTTTTCTAAAGTGTCCAGTACTCTATTGACATGTTGCTATGCTGAGACTTAAAAAAAAAAACAAACTAAAAAAACATAACCAAAAAACACCACCACCACAATGAAACACACACACACAAAAAAAACCACCTGTGAAAAACAGAGCTTTCTTCACTGCTAGGGGCAACAGCTCACATGCTCAACAGATCACAGCTTGATTCCTAAATTCTAGGTCACCTCTGAAATATCCTTTCACTCCTAAAATGAGGACTTGCCTCAGTGCCAGTAACAAACAAGGAACTGACAGATTAAAAGTATCCTTTTAAAGAGTAAAACTGAAACATGCAAAACCAACATACACTAGCAATGTAACTGGTTCTTAAACTTTCTGACAGCATCCCCGCTCTGTAAAGAAATAAAATGCAGGACAGGTCCCTCTGAACAAACACCACCCTCATCATCCCCAAAAATTAGAACACCACTGTCATTTTACAGGTTAGCATTAGAAAGAAGCGACTACAACACATCCTATGATAAAGAAACATAGCAAGCCTGACATCAGGAATTAGGGGCAGGTTATTTTTTTGAAACCAACCAACCAACCACATTTGTAGTGTTAAATTATGATTGTGTATAAGCAGCTGTATCCAAGTAAATGGATTCCTGCACTGCCCAAATGTTTTCCAGCTACATGATAGTGCAACAGCTTAAATGAAAAGTTAATTAAATGCCATCTAGAAACACTGCTATAATTAAAGAAGGTTGAAAATGTTTGCACTGGACTGATGTCAACTCCTAGACTTTTCTAAGACATTTATCAAAATTTCATCTGAAAATACCATTCAGGCAATATGACTCAACAAATCACTTGATGTGGTTTTAAGGAAGCATACTCTGGAACCATTGCTTTCTATATAGCTATGGCGTTGAACACCCCCAGAGCTTGTGGCACTATATGCAGTGAACATAGTGGCCTAATACACAGTACAGAACACAAAATAGTATCACAGTGCCACAGACTTCAGTTGGGCAGGTGGCAGTGGTGGGGTAGTGAAGAGGGAAGTGCAAAAAAAACCTTTAAAATGCTACTGATTGCTAGAATCCACTTTCTCTTTCAGCAGTTCACACAACATCCTAGATTGCAAGTCCTAAACTTCTCTAACGCAGGCCAGTGAACTACTGTAAAAGACTCCAACAGGGAACAAAGTAGCTCTTTCTCCAGATGGAGGCGAGGGGAAGGAAACCAGGGAGGAGGGCACTAGAGAAGGGGATTCACTTATTATCAATAGGGCTCTGTTTTAAGGCAGGCAATTTCACAGTAATAAACTGCAGTAGCATTAAAACATCTTAAAATGTGACAGTCAGACAACAGAGATTTTAATGGAAACAATTTCAAGAATTTACACAGACAAGCAGAGAAGTGGCAAAAACAAAGGCACCCAATACAACTCATTTTATTTTAGCAGCTAGCGCTTCAGTAACAGCCAACAAAACTGAACGCCACACTAGCCAGGAGTAGGAAGCATTTGGCTGCAATTACTGCACAAATACAAACTACAGGAGCCCTATTACTGGAGCCCTGGAAATCCTAATGGGGGAAAAAAAAACCCACAAAACTTGCTTCTTACCTCAACAGCATCACCAATTAAAGGCACAATATCACCCAGTATAGGTTTAAAATGTTGTTGGTCATCGGTGGCTAGTTCAGTCTGTGAGTCTGTTCCCTTGCCAACGCTGGCCGTTGTCTCTTCTTGAGGATCCAAACTGGATGCTCTGAGTGCAGCAGACAACACCTCCACTTGTGCTGCAGCATATGAAAGAGAAATACATGAGAGACTGAAGTGCAATAAACTTTTAGCAAGTCCACAAATCAACTTTTAGACAGTGACTAATTAACTGAAGGATGGCAGAAGGGAGGTACAATTTTAAGATTATTGACCATTAGCAAATTCCAAACCGGGGACAATTAGCATAAATTGTAAGGCAGATTAACACTCCACTCTTGTCCTAGGGTGCCCCACCACACCACAGTTCAGTGAAATATGTCTTCAAAGCAAAAACTCCAGGAGTAAGAGACTGCTATTACAGCAGGATCAGTTCTTTAAGAATCTTGGTACGTATTAATGGTACAAATAGTCTTTGGGACACATGAATGCCAACTTACTGACTGGGTCTTTTTGTGGGAGGTGAGAGTAAGAGAGAGAAGGGAAAAGTAATTTAAATAAAGGTTGAGAATGGGTTTATTCATACAGAAAGGACTTCAGTTCTACAAGACTCTCTCTCTCTCTCTTATATACAGTCATTAAATTCTAAAGCAAGATCTATATAGGAAGATGCTAGACCCCAGGATGCTTCAGCCTCCTTGCATCCTCCAAACAAATAATGAAGGTTGCACTGTTTGATGTTCTCTTATTCATCAAAAGAAAGCATTAGCACTTCACACTCTGCCATCCATTCTTTTGAAAAAGATCCAGCAGTTCTGAGACTGCTCTGCTTTCCATCCCTCTGCTTACTGCTAATTAAAAAAAGCTTTGTTGAGCAACATTCCTTGGATACAGCCTGACCTATGCAGATCAGGTATTAGGGCCAATCTTAGCTGCAAGCGACGCAGAATTCAGTGCAGACTGATCTACTCAGCCTCTCTCCTCCCCTTCTTTCCAAGAAGGTAAGGAAGAATAATCTCCTGACCCATTAAATTTACCCAGCCATCCAGAAGCTCTGTTCCCCATAGACTTTGGCTTTTCCAAGGTTTCTTAAGTGCTCACTGTGAAATGAAATGACAAACCGTATGCTCGTTTTTAGTCCCACGTTGCCATACTAAGTTACAGAATCTAAATTTCTCCCTCTCGCTTTTTTGATGGTGTTATTAACAAGAACGAAACACAGAGAGTTGGACTCTTTTGTAGACCGAAGAAACAGATATGCAATATATCTGTTACAAGAAGCAGAATTATAACTCAGCACAATCTTAGCAGAAATCAGAAAACATACTACAGGTTAACTGGTTTCTAGGTGGAATCTGATGAGCAGGAGGTAAAGATAATTCTTTACAGTATGCAATACTAGCTCTATAACTGTGTCAAATCTCTTATAGCATAACCAAAGGATATTCTTGCTGTATTACTGCCCAACAGGAAAAAACACAGCAAGTTAGAAACTTAAAAACAAAACTAACATCATACTAACACTTCTGCTATACAACACATTATATTAGAAAATACAGTTTCAATATACATCTATAATATGATATATAAATATACAAAAATTAGGAATTTTACAATTTGTAAGATTGACAAAAGCTTGCTACAACTTCACTCTTCAAGTGTTAGTTCACTGATAATAAACCTCTGAACTTTTAAGGCCATGAGAATAAAAAAGATCAAGGTTAGTAAATTCCTCTAAAACTTTAAAGTTAAATAAACCACTCCAAACCATGCAAAATAGGTGGTCATTTCAGAGCACCTGCTAGAGTGAGAAATGTCTGTCTGATTTCCAGTTTATTCTCATTTAGAGAGTTCAAACAAGAAAATTAAGAAGAATTACATTCTGCTGCATATCAAGACAACATTTTTCATGAAGACTTCTTTCATGAAAAATGTACAGTCCTCTCATTTTCACCTAGAAATCAAGGAAGCTTACCCTGAGTAGGTAACACATACTGCTTCAACACTGAATATATATTTACTGAAAAATCCAGAGAGCCATAACATGCAGACACAGTCCAAGATCTGTGCTGACAGCCTCCTGACTTGAGGTGGCTGCTGCTCCTCCCCATCTCCCAAAAAGATCTTTCCTAAAGCAATAAGATAGGCAATGTTTTCCAGAAAACCATTAAAAGTACAAGCAAAGGATAAGGCTTCCCTCTCACACATGACACAGAAAAATGCCTCAAAGCTCTTGGGTAGCAAGGTTTTGGGAGGAAATCTGGAAGACTATCTGCTGGCTAACTAGTTTTCACAACTACCCTCAGTAAAAATTGGAGTGTAAAGATCAGTTTTGTGCATAATACAACTTGTGTTGCACTGGTAAGAAAGTCAATGTTCACTAGATCCTAAACCATCTGCTAATTAACTCTTTATTCCTTTGACTTTTGCTTCAGGTGAGAAGTATTTTTCAGCAAGGAATTATTTACTCTTGGCTACAGTACCTACATCCTAAAATAACTGGCACGACCTTTAACATCAAAACCACATTTTACCTGGCATTATCAAATTTCCTGGTCTTCAGGAATTTGTCCTTTCAATACGCTTTATTGTTGTTTTACATTTCTCCTGATGTTTCACCAGAAGACATTGATATTTCCAAGTGGCACACTCCCTTCTTTTCCCTGAAGGATCTGCCTTCCTTACCCTCACTTCTTACTCAAAGACAAAAGATATGGGCTGCATCAATGGGTATAGAGATGCAAGTAATTAAAATATAAAAATAAGAGGAGTTTCTTCTCCACTTCCTCCTCACCTACTGTCCCATTAACAATATATTTTAGACTTTTACTGCAGGCAGCACTAGTAGCCTAACTTATAAACGTAGTTTTTATAAGGGAATGGGATCAATTGACCACACATTCGGGCTGGTTTATTCCTGTTAGGTCTCCATTTGACAAAGCAGTCTATAACTGGCATAAGGCAGTTTTCCCCAGTAACCTGCAAGGCTTTCTCTCTTCCCCAAAAAATATTAAGAAAAGCTGACATTACATGATTCACTACTTTCTATGCAGAACATAAGAAGATAAATAAAGTTGAAGGAAGTGTCCCTGGTAAGAAAAATAAATAAATAAAAACATCTGGGGAAAGAAAAGGAACCTCTGAACTAAGTGAAGACAGCAGCAGCCTCGGGAGCTGGAAAAAGGTGACCTGAATAAAGACTCTGTGATAAGTTTTAAAAAGCTGGCATACTTCAGAGGAACGAGCAGGTTTCCATCACCCAGTTTGAGACTCTCAGGATGTCTGGCCAGCAGAGTGGAAAGGTCCTATTAACAGGGATTACATACCACTGCTTAACTTTGCATAGCTTGTGTAGCTCTGCTGGCCAGTAGAGTTTGTCTGTGAGAAGACAGGCTGTCTTTATCTTGGTTGCTGACTGCTCAACTACCTATTACTCAGATTTATCGCTTTGGCAACTAGCTAGTTCTGGAAAGAAAGCCTCAAGGAAAAGATTTTTGGGAGTGAGATTCAGTTAAAGCAGTTCACCCCTTTCTGAGAATGATATTATGGAAAAAAATATGTTCTGTGGCAGTTGCTGGTCACTGTTAAGATATTGTATTTGCTAGAGACCTCATCAGTCTCCACGCCTTGGAGCAAGGATTTGAAGTTTGAAATGGAAACTGCTCTGATGATAGGGGGCTGCACTACAGAAACACAGTCAAGTGACAAACCTAAAAGCCCCCAAAGCAAATAAAAACACCCCCAAAACACACACAACCACGGTGTATGGATGTAAACAGTAACCCATTAGTGCTTAGCAGCCAAGACATCTGGAAGACTGGGGTGTGCACTGAACATAGTGTATCCTGGGCTTCACAGGCTGGCAAAGCCTTTCCTTTCAGCTGATCCTTCCCCTTGTCATGCCATGCTGAGGCACCGCTTAGATAAGAACCAAGTTATTCTGTTCTCAATACTTCTGCTATAATGATGCAAGTAGTGAGGGATGAAGCACTTGGCACAACACAGAAGGGTGAGATGAGACATGAAGTAGAGGAATACGGAATCCAGAAAGGAAGAGAAATGAAAACAAAAAAGGAAATAGTAGGGGAATACATACAGAGGGAAAGGATAGGGGTACAAAGGTATAGTAGGTGCTATGGATGCACATACAGGGCAAAGCTGGGGGCAGCAGGGAGAAGAAAAACACTGCCCCACTCTGACTCAGACACAATCATTGCTGGTAGAACTCAAGTATCAAATCGCCACACCCATCTCAGCTATGGGACTGGCTCTGAAACCACCTAGCAAAATGGAAATCATCATCCTCTGCTGATTGTACCATGAAGGACATCACCTTATTACCGCCAACAGCTATTCTGCAGAGTCAAACAACAAAAATTCAGTGTGATCTTAAGAACCTTCAGAAAACCTGTGCCAATGACCCTGGCCAATATGGTTCCACACAACAGATATTAATTTTCTTCTAAGTTTAGAAAATATTCTCCAAAACAAAACACGTTAAGCGAAGGATGCCAAAGTTGCACAGTCAAGCACTGAGAGGCTAGGCACAGCCAGAGTTAAGGTCGTCTTAATCTTATTGACACACGCATAGCATCATACATGGCAGTCTCATTCCCAAACTACACTTTTGCTAACTCATACCCACTTCATCTTGCAATGTCTCTAGGGTGCTTGTCCCATTTGCTACAGAAACCACAAGATATGTACCTATGGGAGCTCTCCAGTATGGCAGGCCTCTGCTTACCCACTACAGAGAACACAGCATCTTCCTCTCCCATTCCTTGGCTGGGAATGCCGTGATAAAGACAGGAGTACAGCATGGAAGCAGGAATCCAGGACTCGGGTGACAGCAAATCAATGAAGAAAATAAGTGCAAGAAAAAGGTCACAGGAATTTAAACAGTGAGAAAGAGAAAAAGAAAGAAAGAAAGAAAGAAAGAAAGTGGAAAAAAAAAATAATCCTAGCTTGTTCAGTCTTTGCTGTCAAGAACCAGACCACTCACAGTACAAGACTCAAAAACATGATGGCTAGTCTTGTGAGGAGGCGGTGGAGGGCAGGGAAAGACCCTAAGCACTGTATGGGACCAGGGCTGTTTGGCAAACACTTGGCAGCCATGTATACTGGAGACAAAATTATCTGTGAAATTAGGAAGTTTCATAAAATTTCTACAAAAATAACAAATTAAGACAATCTTTGGACTGAATATTGATATCATCAGTTTGCAACAACAGTTTTAGATGGTAAAGATGGAAGTGTTATTCCTGGTATCGCCATGAGCAAAGAGGCAGAGTCAGGGCTCTGATCTTCCAGGTCACCCCCAAACGGAGTCTACCTCTCATCACAGTTTAAGGAGTGTACGGTTCAAGACACAGGCATTAAGTCAGCTACTCAGAGACTAAAGCCTGGATACCTACTAGTTCTGTGTGCACTTCAGTGTTTGAGACAAGCATGCAAAATGAATACTATTCTATCAGTTTTGGTCTCAATTTCTTTATGTCTCAATGCACTTTGTATAAAATTAAAATAGCAACATTACCAAATTAAAACAAGTATGTTTTTAAATTACAGTTTCTGAAAGAATACAGGCAAGAGGAAAAAAGAGTACAAGGTTTAGAAGGTGTGTTTCTTGGGGCTTCACTACACAGCCTTGACCAAGTCAGAGGTAATGAACAGAATACAAGGTGACTGAGTAATTAAGACCCACTCCACACCAAATCAGAATAAATATCACTGGTAACCCTAATTCAAATCTTTCCTAACTTGTGGGCACTTGGAACCCATGGTGTTTACAACCTAGTAACAGTTTTCTTATACTGAAGTGTGTGAGTGCTAGCCAGCAACTACACAGAAAACCTCTTGATGCCCAGTCAAGAGAGCTAAAAAAAAAAAACCCCACCCCAAAACAAAAAACCCAACAAACAGAAAAAAAAGAAACCAAACCTGCTCTGAAACAGGACATGAACACACACATAACAGAAACAATCATGTAACATAGGACAATTCTGGATGTACAAATACATGCCTACATAAATCTTCATTAAAAGTGTTTAAGATACGTTCTGTAACTGGACAGAACGAGGTTTTATAAAACAAACCTAAAGAGTACTGCAAGTTTTAACAGCAGGCTTCAGAGACCGGTTATGTGAAGACTGCAATCATTAGCAAGGCTGAAATTTTTTTCTTATCTCTTTCCTTAGAGAGAGTGCCCAAAGCACTCTTTAAGCAAGAAAGTTGCATCAGCTGACTTCACAATAGATTAAATGGAAGCAGCCCAAAAATGGATTTAAGAAAAGCTACTGGCATATCAACCTACTAACAACAAAAATAAGTTGAAAGCAGTATCAGTTTATTCTAAAATGTTGCTCCCACTCCCAACTTGCCCCTCCTTTTCTTTCCTGCTTTTTCTGGTATAGAGGCATGCTTTCCCCTAGGGATTCTTCAGCTCCAGAATAACATGGCTTCTTCCTTACCGGTAGCTCTGGACTTTCTGACTGTGACATTCAAGCTTGATATGCCTTAGAATTTACTCAGCATACAAATACCAAAAGAAAGATATCTCCAGTAGGCATGTGTGAAATAGTCAAGTCATTTTAGCCCAGGGAGTATCTCCGAGATGCCGTTCCACCAGCTGGTCATACTTATGACACCTTTCTCCACTCTTCAACAGCTTTTAAAATGGAGGATGTGCATTCACTTCAAGAATTCAATTTGGATCAATTCTCAGTTTGACCCAACAAATTTGGCATGCTTAAGTCAAAAACATCAGACTGCAATAATAAAGACCTTGCAGAGAAATGGAGAAGATTAATTCACTAAAAATAAAATGGATAATCCATAAAATGAAAACCATTTACCACACTTCGATATTTAAAAAAAAAAACAAAACTTAATCTGCCTTCTTATTTTGCATGTAAGCTAATTACAGATCAATTTCCTGATCAACAGCTTATGCCACTGAACCATCTATTTGGTTATACCGTCAAAACAGGCAGTCAGAAGTTTATACTGCTAACCATATGTGTACTCAGCTTATGGAAGGAATCATACTACCTTTAAACATCTTTACACGAATGCAAGTTCCCTTTTAGTTCATCATTAATTTTCACAATTGAATCTAAATAGATACAATCTCTTTGAGGACCAGGATAAAGCAGTACTTCTGACTTTTAAAACAAATGAAAGGTTAAAGCCTAAACTGCTAAAGCAACATGCACATCTCTAAATGCTAAAAATGCTTCAATATCTTTACTATACCTTTAACATCTGGATCGTCTATATGGGGTTCCAAATTTTCTATCATTTCTTCCAATTCTTTCCTTGTTGCCATAGGAATGTTTGGAGACACTGGCATAGTGAGTTCCTGAATTTCTCTATCGAGTATTATCTCAGAAGTCTGCTGAAGCTCGAAGTCAATATCTATTTCAGGAAGTGGAGTCCTCCAGAAATGGAAAGAGTTGTATAATTCTTGTTCTGAAAGAGAGGTTTCCTGTGAATTCAGCCCAGCCTCCCGCAGACCTGCTGTACAGCAATGAGAACTTCGCTCGTTCTCATCAGCCATTTCCCCACAAGATTCTGAAGACAAAGTGCAATGGAAGGATGACTCAGTCTGGAAATCACTTTCCCTTTGGGAGTTATTTGACACTATATTTTGATCTTCCATGGCATTTTCAAGTTTTGTTGCAAAATCGTCATTATCAACATGTGAAGACAGATCCTCTGTCCTGTTGTGCTCATCATCTGTTGTGACATCTTCTGTAGTCCTGACTTTTTCACTGTTGAGTGCCAAAGCAAACGAACATTTAAAAACCAAAACATACTCGTTGCAAACAGATGTTCTTGAAAATTCACACACATGCTATCAGTTTGCTATTTATGAAACTAGATTTACTTACAGCATAGCTAAATAAATCATAGAATCACAGAATGGTTGAGATCAGAAGGGACATCTGGAGGTTATCTGGGCCAGCCCCACTGTTCAAGCAGAGCCACCCAGAGCCAGTTGCCCAGGACTGTGTCCAGATGGCTTTTGAGTATTTCGGAGGATGCAGACTCCACAGCCTCCCTGGACAACCTCTGCCAGTGCTCAGTCATCCATCCTCACAGTAAAAAAAAGTGTTCCCTGATGTTCAGAGGGACCCTCCTGTGTTTCAGGTTGTGCCCATTGCCTCTGGTCCTGTCACTGGGCACCACTGACAAGAGCCTGACCCTGTCCTCTTTGCACCCTCCCTTCAGGGATTTGTACACATTGGTAAGATCTCCCCGAGCCTTCTCTTCTCCAGGCTGAACAGCCTCAGCTCTCCCAGCCCTTCCTCACAGAAGAGGTGCTCCAGTCCCCTCATCGTTTTCCTGGCCCTCCATTTGACTCACTCCAGTATGTCCATATCTTATAACGGGGAGCCCAGAACTGGACCCAGCACTCCAGCTGTGGCCTCACCAGTGCTGAGCAGAGGGGAAGGATCACCCTCCTCAACCTACTGGCAACACTCTTAATGCAGCCCAGGATACCACTGGCCTTCTTTGTGGCAAGGGCACATTGCTGGCTCATTGTCCATCTGGTGTTCACCATGATGCTTAGGGCTTTTCTACACAGCTGGTCTGCATCTGGACAGATCCTAGCACGAACTGGTGCCTGGGATTGCTCCTCCCCAGGTGCAGGACTTTGCACTTTATTGAACTTCAAGAGGTTCCTGCCAGACCGTTCCTCCAGCCTATTGAGGCCCTTTTGGATGGCAGCACAACTCTCTGGCACATCAGCCACTCTTCTCAGTTTTGCATTATCCAGACCATTAATGAAGATGTTAAACAGGACTGGACCCTGAAGCACACAACCAGTTATTTGCCTCCAACTATGTGTCGCTGATCAGCACCCTCTGGGCCCGGCCATTCAGCTGGTTGTCAATCCACCCCACTGTCTGCTTGTTCAGCCCCTGCTTCATCAGTTTCTCTATGAGGATCTTATGGGAGACCACGTCAAAACCCTTACTGAAATTTAGGTAGACTGTATCCACTGCTCTCCCTTGTCTATCAAGTCAGTCATTTCATCAGAGAAGATATATCCCAAGGCATTGTAAGGTACTGAACAGTCATGTATTTTTAGTAAATAACTGAAAATTGTGGTAGTCTACTAAGTAAGATGAGAAGTTCCAGATCTTTTCATTTACCAAGATAAATACTCCATTTATACAAGCAAGTCAATTTTCTTAGCTTGCAGTTCATACAGAAGAAAAACAAGGAAGAAAAAATTATTTCTAGATTTAGCAAATTCTCTACCTGTTTTCCTGTGCAGAACCACAGTCTTCTGGGTTTTTACTATCTTCTTCTTTAAAGTACTGGCCACTGCTGGATGGATTAGCAAAAGTTGATATGAAAGGCCCCAGAGACTGAAAAGCAGCTTGGCGGACCTAGTGGAAAGGGTCCAAGGTGAAGAAAAAAAAAAAAATTATTTCTATATATAAAGCTCACTGTCCTATAGAAGACAAACACCTACAACTAAGAACTGGAAGGGTCATAGGTTGACTGAGAAAAACAACAGCAGAAGCTCTTGTCTGGAAAGAGTCAACCAGCTGTATACATAAAGTGCTGTGTAAATAAAAAAGCAGAGTAAAACTAGTCAAATCACAGGTAACTATGTTGACAGGCCTATTCCCCAAATATTTAGACAGTAGAAGCAGGTAAATCTGAAAACTCAGTTGATCATTTTAACAACTTGAAAGGAAAAAATTATGTGCTGTGAACAGACATTTTACCACCATAAGTTTTGACTGACAAGTTATACATTTCTTTCCCTTTCCTACTTGGCTATGTTATTCATTTGCTCCTCCCTTCCCCTATTTCTGCTCCCCTTCTCAACAATTATCTATCTTCATTTTAATTATTTGATTAACTCTGTTGGGCTACAGCTTGCACAGTTTTCCAGGATCCAAGAGCTTGTGCTCCTATGCAAAAGATCTACTTTTGCCTCTTGGAAGTAGTCTGCTCAATAACAAACTTAACAAGGTTTGAAGGTTAGATCCTCAAGACAAAAAAATCTCAAAAAAACAAAAACCAACCAAACAAGAAAACCCCCGCAAAAAATTCCACCCAAACCAGAACCAAACTAACCCAAAACCAACAAACACCACCACTCCACTGTATTGCCCCACTTCCCCCAAAAAAAGGAGGTGGTGGTAAAGAACCTGAAGAAATAAAAATAAATCACATCTAACTTTCCGGTTTTGTTAATGATTTTCAGCAATGTTAAGTCACAGGCACTTCTGTAGCTAAGAAAAGCCACCCCACTGACACAGTTTCTTACATGCTGCAGTGAAAACATGAAGGACTCTCTACACCCGTGGACAAACTAAGCATTCTAAGAAGAATTTTGCTCGAGGTGCGTGAAACAAGTTACATTATCCACACCCATGGGGAGAAGTTCTATATGGAGTATCACAGTAAAATCCTTTAAATATGACAGCTATTCAAGAAATAAAAAGCAATTCTTACCCATCGTGAAGGATCACTAATCAAATTAATAAAAAGGGTTGACAATTTTGTCCTCCGGACTTCCTGTGATGTTGCACAAGAAACTGCCATGAAGCACTCAGCACAGGCTTTCCTAACTCCCCACACATTATCAGAGCAGAGCTGGAAAAACCTTGGCAGCTGTTAGGAACATAGTAAGTTTGCAAGTCTTAACAGGCAGTACTTGTTTCAAAGCAAGTTCTTTTTCCACATTCATTTCATTCATCTCATTCTCTGCCCTCATAATCAGATGCATTAGTTTAATATTTGCAAGACAAAGAACACACATTCAGTACCACCACCCTGCTACTTATGGATATAGATAAAGAAAATTCACCTGTCCAAAGAATATCAAGAAAGTACAAACTTTCTAACTTGATTTATATTAAAAAAAAAACAACTAAAAAAATATCCTTAAGCTCAGAAAACCTAGCATAAGACAAAAATCCCATCTCTACACCATTCTTTTAAAGCAGCTAACACTGAAAGGAACAAAACCATAAAGAATACTGGTGCATTAATGTTTTATCTATCAGAGAACATTACAGATTTTTTTTCTAAGATTCTCACTGAAATGCAAAGGAAGAGCATCTTCAGAAAGAAAACTTCTTTTCCACCTAAATTGTTAGATTTACCTATCTCTGTCACCACCTACCTACCCTACAAAGCAGGACCTGAACAGCATAGAGGAATAGGGGAATGAAAGACACTGCATTTTGTGCAAGAGAAAAACAGGTTTGAACAGAGCAGTTGTTTTACTAATAAAACTGAAGCATTTTGAAGCTGCTCAGGATTTTTGGAAACAGTAATGGTAAGAATGAAACGGTGGACAGAGTGCAGGTGAGGCAGTCAAAGACATGCAACTCATCACAAGGCTGCCTTCGCTTGCAACAAGCAGAGTGGTAAGATGTAAAGAATACAATGACTGTTGCTGCAGCTCTATTCTCAATTATTGATGTTCAGCTCTTCCTACTTTCTGTAGCAAAGTTTTCTGGACTTTGCTTCTGCTTAAAAAGAAAAAAAAAAAAAAGCCTTTATGTTACAAAATGAAGTTCTATCTAAAGCCATTCAGCTTTTTGCCTTTTTTTTCTTTTTTTAAATAATACAAAAAGAGCAGAAAATGGTATTTTCTATTATGGAAAGAGATCCCCAACTGCCCAGCCACATGTTATTACTTTCACATAAAATAACCACTACTTTTCACTACTTTTTTTTATTTCATAGTCCAATTGCACCCTCTACAAAGTTTTAATCCAAATTCATTCCATGTATCACTAAGAAGGCATTTCTGTGAGAGAAATCAATTTACATGCTCAATTGAGAAACATATGGAATGTAAATCTGCACAATACTTCATTATCAAATGGCCTGAATCACACAGCATCTAGGGAAAAATGCAGCAAATGCTGTAAGAACATTAGCAATGCCCTGAGGGTCACACTAGGCATACCTGTCCCAATACCACATTTGCAAAAGGCTGCAGAGCCTCTTGTGGAGGTCACGCCTGCATTTATACTCTCTCCATGTAAGTCCCTCACTAATTCATGGCACTGACTCATCAGTCTCCTCCGGCCATCAACAAGCTCACTGTTTGCATCCCCAAAAGCAGAAAGCTTGAAGAAGGATCCCAGAGACTTTCAGGCTGCTTCCTGCTGCCTAGCCCTGTCATGTCTCCAAGCCTAGCAACATCTACCAGCTCCCTGAACCCACCAGGGGAACAGGGGGCACTGTTACGGATCCTCTGCTCCCTGCTCCATCCAGTTCCCAGCTTTTCCATTTTGAGTTTGTATCTCTTTCCTTTACTTAATTTATTATTGCACAGATTCATTTATTTTCTCTGCCCTTCTTTCTCTTTTGCTCCTTCCCAGGAGGGTTATGAGGCTTTGCTAAGAGTCAGGAAGGCTTGAAAAGATTAAAATAATGAACAGCAGCATTAAGTGATGCCATTTTTAGAGACCACATAAGGCACATCCCTTCTAGTGGTCTACACCCTCCACGCTCCTCCTGTATCTACAATCTTTCATTGCATTTATGGACATTAGAAGATACATTCCTGCCTACTTCTTGCCTAATGTATTTTGAACTTGCAAATACTCTCTGTCTACACAGCCCAAGGTATTTCCTTCAGTCTGGTTTAAATCCTTCTCCCAGCTCTAGAATTGAGTACCCTTAGCTCTAGACTGTGTGACTTGGCAATTAAGAGTTCTGTATTGATAGTAACCGTCTTCAAGATTTTGTAAACATCAATCATAACCTTATGTCAGCAAAACTGAAGAGTCACAGCTTTTTTAGTCTCTCCTTAGTAAGGTAATGTAGTAGTTGTCTAATAATTTTAGCTGCTCTTCTCCCATACCTTGGGTAACTCCACTACCAACTTGCATTTAAAAGAAAAATCCTCTAAGAAATGGCTTACCAGCATTTCTTCAGTGGCTTGCTGCCCAACAACACTGCAGATATCTCCAAAATTGGCTGCACATACCTTACAAACAAAATGCAAAGATATAACCACCAAGACTATAGTTTTAATACAGCAAACAAAATCAAAGGAAAAATGTAAACAGTTTTTAAAACCACAAAAACAGGCTTCGGGGCAAGCTCAGTATCAGCCACATCCCCCCACTGGCCGTTTTCCCGGTTTAAAAAAAAAAATAAAAAATAAAAAAATAAAAAAATTGTTTTCTTCATTTTAACTTTAATCGGCCTTTTTTAATCATGAAAGAACCACCTCAGAACTTCAGTAAAGGGAAGCAGGATAAAATACATTCCAAGTGCTGTCAAATGAAAAAATAAAAGCAGTTATCAAGGAAAATAAGCTATGCAATGGCAGTGTGAAACCAAAACACAGCCTCAGCACCTAAATACCACGATGGAGGACCAGTTTATTTCATCTTAATGAGTATCTTTAATTCCATCTATGCACAGAGATATGAGCTCAGGTGGGTGATGCTGTATCAGTTACAGCTGGTTCACATTTTCATAGCTAGCTATGCAATCATAAGGACAACCAGATTCTTTCTTTGTTTCTGATAATAAAGGTAGGGACTCTGGAAGAAACTCAATGTCAAATATAAAATCTGTGGAAATGCGAGCTACAAAAGAAACTCCATAGCTTCCACTCATACATGTCACAGCTGCGATCTAGCAGGAAAAAGTCATTTAGACAAATGCAAGTTCCAAGTTGCTGACATTCCTTTCACAGATAACCCAGACCAGGTACTGATAATTCATACCTTACGAACATGAAACATTCTGCAGTCGCAGCACATCTCGCAAAACCGAGGAAGAACAAGTCTTTCTGTGATGTCCTTTCCCACCATGGAGGCCATTTTGCACATTATCTAATAGCAAGACAGACGTTAATCAGGGATTGCACAACACACAATTCCAAGTCAGTTCAGCAGAGGCTTTTTACATTTACTTTTCATTCTCATGCACATAATTTGATTGAAAATTATTAAAATATTGAAAAAAAATTCTGTATTTTGAATTGAAAAGGTTCAGCTACTTCTGCAAAAAACTTTTTTTTCTTTTTACCCTCCCTCTGTCATGATGTAACACAGCTGTGGAACACACTGGTTTTTTCACCAAACTAAATCAAATCCCTAACTAAAGGGGATAACTGAACTCTCAGAAATTACACTCCTATCTTACCAGATTTACAAAAAAATAAAAAACACAAAGTACAAGATTATTTCACTATTCCAATACTTAATGAATATTTACACATCTACAATTAACAGAAAATTATTTACAATTAATATGCTTAAGTGACTTCTACAACTTCTGTAGGATTTAAAAATTACTTACAACACTCCATATTGTTCATATGCAACTCCCTAACATAAAACTACTGAAAAAGCGTATCATACTAAAGAAAGTGACAGCTCTTCCCTCTAACTGCTCTTTCATTCTGATTTTTACTACAACTTTAAAAAAATAAGGTAATTAAAATAATTTTATGTTTCACTTTCCTCATCATGTCATTACCTACTTAAATTCATTTTCCTATAATAAAAAAATATTATTTTTCTAACCTACAGAGCCTTTGTGGGCTACAGAAACTTTTCTCAAGTTTCAATATCTTCAAAACAATTCTGCTTTAAAGTTTATTCCCTTATGTATTCGCAAGCTTCTTCAAGGAAGTACTAGAAATTTGGTGCCAAATGCAATATTGCCCAGCCTCCTTATTATTTGAGTCCAGTCACATTATGAAAGTAAAATATAAATGAGGTCTCTCTCTCAACCAAAAACAAATAAATAAATAAAAGCACATAGCAAAAAGCATCAACATAAATTGCAAATATTCAAGGGAAACATAAGGACATACATCTTTTGTCATTTCTCCTTAATAAACTAATGTATTAATTTGCTTACTATTTTAATTCAACACATAATTTTTAATCATTAAGGTTGTGTCTAATGCAAAAAAAAAAAAAAAAAACCCCACCAACCATCCATGAGCTGATCAACTCAGATGTTTACTATTTCATCCAATAAAATTACACAAAATCAATAAAGAGAACAGACATACAGCCAAGATCAAAAGAATTCAAGCATTAAAGGTTTTCCACTGATGGAAATTTCATATATATGCAATTTAAACTTCCACAAAACAAACAAATCTGAAACAAATAAAAAGCCAACAACAGCAGATGCTTTAGGAGTAAAATTAATCCCCTGCACTGTGTTGTCCAGCTGGGTTTTTCTTTACAGCATATATAAGCTACTGAATATAAATCTAACCTTGAGTGTAACACAGCATGGAAAAATTTACAGATTAGTTATGGCTAGCAATATAATTTTTTCTCTTTAATGCCACATAGATGTCCATCTTGGAAACACACTATCATCACTGCAACATCGAGCATTCAAGCAAACTCTGTACTGCATGATTCAGTATTGCTGTTACTTACAGCCACAGCTTCAGTCTTCACATCATCATTGCTGTCTGGAGCGGTCAGATCTATCAGAACAGGGCATACTTTGGTCTCCACATCGTATCTCTCTATGAGTTCTTGCTCCAATAGAACTAACAATGCTGCCTGGCTTGTTTTTCTTACCTATCATAAAAAGACAAAAATTGAACCCAGAATTCAAAGACAGTTTTTTGGTTTTTTTGTTTAAATACATGTCCTGTATTTTGGAAGCTGTACCTACATACTGCCACACATCTATACCAAGTACTCCAAAACCCCTTTTGCAAACACTTCATGTTTGAAACAAACTTGGTTTGAACCCAAGAACAACTGCATATTGTAAACTAAGAATCACAGAGTCACAGAATGGTAGAGGTTGGAAGGGAGCTCTGGAGATCATCTAGTCCAAGCCCCCCACCAAAGCAGGTTCCCCACACCAGGTTGCACAGGGCTGCATCCAGGTGGGTCTTGAATGTCTCCAGAGAAGGAGACTCCCCAACTTCTCTGGACAACCTGTTCCAGTGCTCTGTCCCCCTCACAGTAAAGTTTTTCCTCATGTTTAAGCAGAATCTCCTGTGTTCCAGCTTGTGCCCTTTGCCCTATCACTGGCCACCACTGAAGAGTCTGGCCCCATCCTCTTGACACCTGCCCTTTAGATATTTATAAATATTTATAAGGTCCCCTCTCAGTCTTCTCTTCTCTAGGCTAAACAGACCCAGCTCCCTCAATCTTTCCTCATTAGAAGGATGCTCCAGGACCCTTAATCATCTTTGTGGCCCTCCACTGGACTCTCTCCAGAAGCTCCCCATCTCTCTCAAACTGGGGGGCCCAGAACTGGACACAATACTCCAGATGTGGCCTCACCAGGGCAGAATAGAGGGGGATGATCACCTCCCTTGACCTGCTGGTCACATTCTTCTTAATGCACCCCAGGAGAACACTGGCCTTCTTGGCCACAAGGGCACATTGCTGGTTCATGGTCAACTGGTTGTCCACCAGCACTCCCATATCCTTTTCTTTTATTAAAGTTCAGAGTGAATTTCACGTAATTCAAAACCTGTACTGGTGCCTGAGGTTATTCCTCCCCAGGTAAAGGGCCCTACACCTGACCTTATTGAACTTCATCAGGTTCCTCTCCGCCCAACTCTCCAGCCTATCCAGATGTTGCTGAATGGCAGCACAGCCTTCTGGTGTATCAGCCATTCCTCCCAGTTTAGTGTCAGCAAATTTGGCAATGCTATTGTGAAAGTGTCCACCTACATACTTCCCAAAACATGGGACAGCAATGTCAAAAAAAAGAGAGATCTTTGTTTCAGAGTAAACCAGCCAAATGAACTACGGACAATCAACAGAGGTTAAGATGATGAACAGAATCGTTGATCTGCTAGCAAGAGAATATCAAGCAGAAGTATGGTTGTTGCCTTATACATGAATTAACAAACGAACTATTAGAATCATAGAACGGTTTGGGTTGGAAGGGACCTTTAAAGGTCACCTAATCCAACTCCCCTGCAGTCAGCAGGGATATCTTCAACTACATCAGGTTGCTCAGAGCCCTGTCCAGTCTGACCTTGAATGTTTCCATAGATGGTGCTTCTACCACTCCCTAGGAAACCTGTTCCAGTGTTTCACCACCCTCAGCATAAAAAATTTCTTCCTTATATCTTATCTAAATCTCCTCTCTTTTAGTTTAAAACCATTACCTCATGTCCTACCACTAAAGGCCCTGCTGCCAAAAAGTTTGTCCCCGTCTTTCTCACAGGCCCCTTTTAAGTACTGAAAGGCTGCAATAAGGTCTCCCCAGAGCCTTCTCTTCTCCAGGCTGAACAACCCCAACTCTGTCAGCCTTTCTTCATAGGAGAGGTGTTCCATCCCTCTGATCATTTTTGTGGCCCTCCTCTGGACCTGCTCCAAAAGGTCCATGTTTTTCTTGTACTGTTAAGAAAAACAGGTTTTGGTATCTATTTTTAATTATGGAAAATCTGGAAAAGGCAAGGAAAATAAAAGTGTCAAACTCAGAGGCCTAAAATACTTAAAATAATTTATCACCTAGGATTAGTCTAGTCTGAAATGACATGGAGAGGCCTAGAGAAAGCTTTAGACAAGATAACTCACACATGCAGAGAAACAAGCCACAAAAGTTAAATCCAAAAGCTTTATTGGATGGATATACAAATAACTGGTTATGGAGGTACATAATGGTGTTAAAAAATTGAATTATACCAAGGAGTCAGTTCTTCATTATTACTGTTCCTTTTTTTCATAATTTAAATTATGCAAGCTTATCAAAATGGCTGTTTGATTTTGTCCATAAGAATACAACACCAGATAAAAGCCCCACGTCAGAACAGATCATGTCAGATGAAAAAACGTTGGAAATTTTCTTTCATTAAAGTCCAGAGTGCATTTCACGTAATTCAAAACTTTTTTACCACAAAACATTACACACCTGTATGATGTTACGTTATTTAAATTCAAAAACCTCACACCAGGTACATTCAACTAGCTAATAAATTATTTGTAAAAGACACTTACTTACCTGGTTATTCTGGTCTGCGAGGTATCGTACCACAATAGGCAGTAAGTATTTGGAAAAAGCATATGGGATTGAAGGTCGGTTTTCTTGACAGAACATAGCAATATGAGGCACCTGTTCCATCAGTTCTGCCCGCACTGTTGGCTCTGTCAGGGTCAAAATAAAATAAAATGTCAAAATAAGCATTTACAAGCACATTGCCAGAATAAGCTTTTTACAGCCCTGTACATACAAACTATGTTCTCAAGTGTTCATGTCAGCCTGCTTATGTTAAGTTTCATTTTGACAAAAAAGCACCTTTTTGCAAAACCAGGTACAACTACACTCTGTACTCCTAAACTACTAAAAAGAGGGTCACACATTCTCAGTAAAAAAAAAACAAAACACCAAGATGAGGTGCAAGAGAGCAACCCACCAAACACTATGAGTATCAGAATTTGTCTGAACTCCCTACAAGCATCAACTACTTCCAAGAAACCTGCTAAGCAGAAAGTCAACCCAAAACTGGTACCACTATGAGAAGAAATGAACTGAGGGATGCTCCTAGCCACAGTCTCTCATTTGGGAAAGACTCCACGGAGCAGGACAACCACACCAATGCTCTTTTTCATTCTTTGCTTTTTAAGGCTACTAATATTTCTGTCAGATGGAAAAGGTCCTGCATCTTTCCAGTTGTTTCTGTTAAACCTTTCAGGTATGTTTTTCATCAAAGTTGGTGACTATTTTAAAAAATATTTAATTCACTTTGAATGCAGAAAACAGCATACTGCAGAACATGCACATCTATGTGGTGGATGAGAGGAGAAACAAGAAAAGAAATACAAGCATGGATTAAATTCCAACTATTAAAAAAAAACAGCTTCAATTTAAAAATCAGGACATTATCACATACCTGATAGTACACCTCTCCGCAGAAAAAAAAGAATGTATATAATTTCAGACCTAAATACTAAGTATTTCTATCCTTTCAGAATTTACTCACATCTGTAGTTACTATTAGATAATGATTATCTGTAAAAACACATAATGAAAACTCATCAATTACTCTCATGTTACAGTAATTTGATTTACAATATTTTAAATAATAAGATGTATACTGTTCACAGGATATGCATTCCTTATTAAAATCTTACATATGAATTGTTCAGGTAAACCAGAACCATCTTCCTTGGAATATTTTGAATTAACGCGATACATTAAAAATACAACGTTTTGCTGGATAGAAGCATGTAACCTGCATACATATTTCACATGGCCAATGCACATAGCACTTGGCTTTCTTTAACACTGGTTACAAATGACAACTTAAGCCTGATTAAAACAAAACAAAGATAAACCAAGTACCATGCTGTGTGCAGCTTCTTCTTCAGCAAGGACAATAAGAACAGAACAGATCATAGCACACAAAGCAATCAAATGCCTATGGGCTCCATTTCTTTGTCTATAGACTTAAATTACTTTTCCTATAGAAAAACATACCAAAATCCTCTGTAAAATTTATGAATCGCTGATGAAGTTGCAAAATACAAAATGAAATCCCAGATAAATCAATACTGAATAGGTTTGCTGTTCATGACAATAAAGAAAAAAATTCTTCCAAATCTGCTCTGTTTTTCTGCCCAGACATTAACAGGAACACACAGGACAAAACACTTTTTTTTAATCTTCAGATGTTCTGAAACATGCACAGGCTGAACTCCATAAGCAATACACACATCCTGAAGTGTACTGAAGAAGTCAGATTCTGAAGAAGACTACTGAAACTATGTGCAAGTTTTAGCAGACTTGAAGTAGTGAAAATGAACAAATAACAAAAGGCTAAATTCTAGTTTGGTGAACACTATGTTTGTACTACTAAACATGATAATTGACCAAAATAAGCACCTGTAAATAGGACAAACACAATTGTTAATGACATTATTAATTCTGAAAGCTAAATTCTGTATCAATGTGAGGAAAGTAAATACTACTTTTTGCAGTTTTTCTAAAAAAATTTAGACAGAGAATAAAAAGTTACCAGTCTAAGTTTCTAATTTCAAGTCTCACTTTCTATTGGGAGCTTGCAGCACCTCTTACTATTAAAGTGCTCTCATACTTCCTATCACAGTAACTCATCTTTCACTTCCTTACCAAATTTGCCAGAGGAATCCTTAGAATGCAAGACAGCCTAAGTTGCAATTCTTCATTAGGATATTTTCTTAGCTCCCCCCCCCCCCCCCAAAAAAAAAAAAGCCTCAGCCAAAGTAGATTAGCTGTTTTCAAGACTAAAGTTGGCAAAACCATCTATTTTCTTCCTACATTGAATTCTAGTCCTCTTATCTGACAAGGCCTAGCTTCTTAACTTCTGGAAGGGGGGCTTGAAAATGTGCCGGATAAAGAGTTATTTTATATCTCAACATCCATGTGAAAACCAGCCCAAAGTTGCTTGAGCTAAACGGCCTTGAAAACACCTTCCATTTGCACCTGCCCAGTAGCTGACAGAGAACACGGGAACTGCAAACTGAAGAGCCCTTCCTTGCTGAGCACACTTGGAGATGGAGAAAGCCATCACCACTGCAGACAGACTGTACACAGCCCTTCTCCCAAGAGCAACTCTTTTGAAAAGGCTGCAGATGGGAAACAGAGCAGGATGAGGAACCACCAGGCTGGGCAAGGAGGAATGGAGGGTTGCAAGGTGAGTGACAAGAAGACAAAACTAGCAACTAAAGGGAAGGGAGACAGAAACTTGCTAGACAAGAAACTGGAACCAGGGCCCAGCGCCTGCACTGGAGGGACTCACTCCCACCTTCCCCAGAAGGCTGCTATTTCAAAACATGCCCAGGACAGAATCCAAGGGTACAAGAGGCTTGTACGATAACTCTTATCTCTAGGATCTCATTCTCACTACTTAAGACCCCTGCCTCATTCCTCGCAGCAGACAGAGCTGATTGATTTGGGAAGGGGAAAGGAGAGGGGAAGAGAGGAAGAGACATTTGGCTGAGACTGCATGTTTGGCAGCAGTGCTTCTTAAATTGTTTCCAAATTTACTTCAGGCAGTTCCCACCCTCCAAAACCCAAAACTTGCTGTTGGCCTTTCCATTATGACAAAGCAACTGCTCGTGCAGCCAGACTACAAACCATATCAAAGAACTGATCTGGCTGATGCAGTTTTTGCCGCAGCACAGCAGCACGATTAAACAGCAAGAACTGGCACTTAGACTGGTCTCCCTGTGCAGTCACACAGTTCCGTCAAGCAGCAGAACTATCTGATGATGAAAGCAAGCAAGTGATGGTAAGAGGGTGCAGGAACTGCTTGCTGTGATACTACCAATAAAACAGAGTGAAAGCAGTAAAATGCTGAGAAGCCAAATTTGTTTCTTTACCTAGCATGAAGCTGTGCAAAATGCTCAAGCCAAACTCTTCACAGAGTAATTGCACACTACTCATTTGATTGCAGTCTGAACCCTGTGTATCCACTGCTGAAGAAACAGAATCATAGAATGGTTTGGGTTGGAAGGGACCTTAAAGATCATTTAGTTACAACCCCCCTGCCATGAGCAGGGACGCTATCCACCAGACCAGTCCAATACCACCACTGCAATCAAAGCCAACAAGAACTTTGTATTAAGTATATCAAGAACTATGTATAAAGCTTCGGACTCCAGGCATTCAAAATGGGCAGACTGTTTTGATTTTAATATCTCTACAGCTTGCCCACCTACTGGTAAAGCAATGGCAACACTCCCTTTCCCCAAATTGACTATGTTTGCTGTGAAACTGGACTACATTTTTTTTACTAAGCATTCCAGTGAGAGCAATGAGTACCAAAAACATAAGATCCTCTTTTCTTTAGAACAGGGTTCATCTATTATGCAGCACTTAAGAGAGTGGCCACACCACCTGACAACACTGACGAGCTGCTCAGGTAAAGCGAGCCCCCTTCTTCCTGAGCTACTAAGTAAGCTCTGGCTTTGCAAGGATCATGGACAGATGAGATAATGCAATTAAAGATTTGAAAAATTCATGCCCAGGAATTAAATAGAACTGTAAAGTCATCTTAGTTCTTACATTCCCTACCTTTTAAGTGCATGACTCTGCAATCTTAGTAAGGTCAATTCAAACCAACAAACAAACCAGCACTGTGTATGTAACTGGTTGTGTAATGCAACACCGTAATTCACTGTCAAAAAGGTATTTGTGCTGTCCTGCTGCTATGCAAGAACCGGAACCTTGAGCTTAACAATTTAGGAAAGAGCTCAACTCTTGCAAATGCTGAAGCATATGTTCCAGCACGTACTGAATAGAGCCTAATCTTGCAGTCTGATGGGGTTACAACGGAGCATTTTTTTTGCATTATGTTTCCTAAAGACCCAAGCAATAATGCAAAAAATTCCCACTGAAGATAGGGCACTTTTGTAATTCCCTTCATCCACTCCTAGCTTAGATGGTGGCAGCTCCAAATACAGTTTCCAGCAGACTTCAATACATGAGAGTATCTGCCATTTCAGTTTAAGCTTTTCTGTTTATAACCAAATTTATGCTTTGGTCATCAACACAGTGAATGAAGCACAGCAGTATCAGTTAAAATTACTACATGCAGCTTCTTAAAGCATAAGCTCATCCAGCTGGGGAATACATCTGCATTATATATATATTTTTGGACTGAATAATAAAGTCAGGATCAGGCCTTCACACAGTATAAACAAAATCTAGGTGGAGAATTTTGCTTCACACCAAGACTTAAAGTTTCTATTTTAGGCACTCTGGAAAAAATCACTGTGTACAATTAGGTTCTCCATAACATTTGCTTGGAACAGCATTTTTCCATTCGGCAGAGGAAGTATTTTTAAATGCTGCTCTTTCAAACCATCTCCTGAAGGTACAACTCTATACCTTAAAGTAGCACGCTGCTAGAAAAAAAAGCTGCAGTTTGTCAAAACAAAAAAATTTGAAAATAAATATTAATATAAAAATTAGATCTCAGAAGCAAACTCATACTTGTTTTTCTCATTCATTAGCATTTTATTTCATTCTGTCACGTCTTGTGTATTTTCTAGATAGAGAATTATACTGAACTGAGTTTTAGATTTTGAGCAAAACTAAAACAATGACAGAAGAAAGTGAAAATAGACATCCATTTCTTCTGTTTGTGAAATAACTTTGAAAA